GCGGAAGGCAAGGGGGGAGAAGTTTAAATAACAAGCTAGAAATTAGATGAAAGTTTAGATAAAGAGCTAGATTGTAGATCATGGCATTGTGGAAGGCAAGGGGGGAGGAAGTTTAAATAACAAGCTAGAAATGAGATGAACGTTTAGATAAAGAGTTAGATTGTAGATCATGGCATTGTGGAAGGCAAGGGGGTGTAAATTTTCAAGAAAGAATTAGATTTTAGATCATGGCATTGTCGAAGGCAAGGGGGGGAAGTTTAAATAACAAGCTAGAAATTAGATGAAAGTTTAGATAAAGAGTTAGATTGTAGATCATGGCATTGTGGAAGGCAAGGGGGGGAAATTTAAATATATAACAAACTAGAAATTAGATGAAAGTTTAGATAAAAGGTTAGATTGTAGATCATGGCTTTGTGGAAGGCAAGGGGGGGAAGTTGAAATATTTAACAAGCTAGGTATTAGATGAAAGTTTAGATAAAGAGTTAGATTGTAGATCATGGCATTGTGGAAGGCAAGGGGGGAGAAGTTTAAATAACAAGCTAGAAATTAGATGAAAGTTTAAATAAAGAGTTAGATGTTAGATCATGGCATTATGGAAGGCAAGGGGGGGGAAGTGTCAATAAAGAGTTAGGTTTTAGATCATGGCATTGTGGAAAGCAAGAGCGTAGACATTTTCAATCAAAAACAAGATTTTATAGGAGGCGCAAGTGAGAATGTAGTGAGGCGTAAGTGAGAAGGAAGTGGAGGCGCAAGTGAGTAGTAGTGGAGGCGCAAGTGAGTAGTTGGAGGCGCCAGTGAGTAGTGGAGGCGCAAGTGAGTAGGAGGTACAAGTGAGAAAATTTTGGAGGCGCAAGTGAGTAGTATACCATCTCTGATGGGGTTGGTGGACGATGCGGAAGGCTCAAGAGACATAATGCTCCCTGTAACCCTATAGTAGAATGACAATGATCAGGGCAAGAGTTTGCTGAGATGCCACGATGCTTGGAGCTGTTTGGCTTTCATCACGCGAGGTGTGTCTCACAGATTTGCATTAGCAGCAGGATGATCACTGGAGTTAAACAGCAATCGTAGCAACGGCAGCTACAAGGCCTTGATAGCCGCATCTTCGTAGCTCGTGCTCCGATGGATCTGGAGATCGATGACCTAGAGGAGAAGAATCGGTACCAGCAGGGGCATTTCACACAGCATTGGTTTCTGCGTGGGTTTGGTCTCAAAGTCTTGAAACGGCAGATCTAAACAAATTTGCAGGTTTCGCATCGCTGAAGACGTTCTCTATCAATTATCATGATTTGCTTGTTTTCAGAGTTTCCACCCCACCATCAGCATGTGGACGCGTGATTTATGTTTTATGTTTTTCTGATTCACTCGATTGAGTCTTTCAAAATACAGCCAGGGGGTTGCGGAGCAGGCTAACCACAAATGACGCATCATCAATGTGTTGTTTGAAGATCCACCACTGCAGAATTTTCTTGTAAAGCCCTTTGCTGTAAATTCAGTCTTCAGCAAGTCACCCGAACACTTTGATTGATCGGGTTTTACTTGCAGCGCAGGAGTCTGCATTTACACTCAATAAGTCTTGGGTGATATCCCTAGTGACTTAGTGCTGATGCGCGGCATGAAACTTGAGCAGTGAGTCCAGCTAGATCCAGGTCTTGCGGATTGTCCCCCCCTACCGTTGCAGCCTTTCATTTCACCTAGGCCGAATGGCTGGATGTGTTAACATCGCTGGTGAAGGACTGTTTGCCACTCGCCCAAATTAGCGTCGCGCTGTCGCTGGCACCCCAAAAAGCACCGCTTTTGAGGCTACCGCTGTTCCTGTTGCACTGCAAGCGTGGACAGGCTGTAGCCGGTGGACCACTGGTAGATACTGGAAGTCGGTGATACGTTGATGACATGAGTTTGTTTAGATTTGATGAATGATATGAATTAAGAATCACAATATATAAATATATTTTATAATATATTATATATAATAGTATATAGTAATATTGTATGTTTTAAATTTTATATTACATATTTATAATATTATATTATATTATATTATATCATATTATATTATATTATATTTTACATCATATTATATTATATTATATTTTATTTTAATATTATATTATATAATAATATATAATATAATATTATTATTATATTTTATTACGTTATATTATATCATATCATATCATATTTTTATAAATTACTATTATATTACATGATATTATATCATAATATGTTATGTTATATTATCTTATCTTATATTACAATGTATTATATTTTGTTATACTATATTATAGTATATTATATTTTATCGTAGTATATTATATAATATAATATTATATTGTATTATATTATATTATATTATATTATATTATATTATATTTATACCTATATTTATACTTTATATTATATTATATTATATTATTTTATATTATTTTATATTACGTTTTATTATATTATATTATTATATGCTTATACGTCTGATATAGATGCTCATTGCCATAGGGTTGGATGGGCGGAATGTGCAACTGTCATCGACTGTCCACAAATCTTGTAATTGCGAATAAATCTTCCATATTTCGCAGGAGGTGCAATTGATAATCCTTAATCAGCCAGTCAATCTGCTGGGACACCTGGCAATTATAGTAACACGTATCATATTGGATTCTAAGTGATCCACGATCAGTGCCATAAACACACGAGTATTCATATGTATTATAATGTGTATATATATATATATCTATATTGTAATATGCATATATATATATATATACTTATATTATGTATAATATATATATATATACATATATATATATATATCAATGTATATATACACACCGGTCAGATTCACTGCAGATCTATCACAATTTATCCAGGCAAGATTGCCAGTGGCCTCCATTGTTTGGCACCTCAGTGAACCATTCCAAAACGGGCTAAGCTGGGCGGCTGAAGGAGGGGATTCCCGATCAACACTGGACATTGCGTTTGTGAGGATGTCACCCCTGCCAACGTCCACAAAAAAATGATTGAAAAAAAAATCTTTACTTCGAGTTATCCCCACCATGACATTTATACGTTTTGTTACTGGCAAATCTTCTGGCATTCTATCTGACATTTTATCTGGCATTCTATCTGGCATATCTTCTGGCATATCTTCTGACATTCTATCTTGCATTCTATCTGGCAAATCTTCTGGCGTTCTATCTGGCAAACATTCTGGCATATCTTCTGGCATTTTATCTGGCATATCTTCTGGCATTCTATCTGGCATATCTTCTGGCATTCTACCTGGCATATCTTCTGCAATATGTTCTGGCACTCTATCTGGCATATCTTCTGGCATATCTTCTGACATTCTATCTGGCAAATCTTCTGGCAAACATTCTGGCACTTTTTCTGGCATACCTTGTGGCATTCTATCTGGCATACCTTCTGGCATTCTATCTGGCATATCTTCGGGCATTTTATCTGGCATATCTTCTGGCATTCTATCTGGCATATCTTCTGGCATTCTATTTGGCATATCTTCTGGCATATCTTCTGGCATATCTTCTGACATTCTATCTGGCATTCTATCTGGCAAATCTTCTGGCATTCTATCTGGCAAACATTCTGGCATATCTTCTGGCATACTTTCTGGCATTCTATCTGACATTCTATCTGGCATACCTTCTGGCATTCTATCTGGCATATCTTCTGGCATTCTTTCTGGCATATCTTCTGGCATTTTATCTGGTATATCTTCTGGCATTCTTTCTGACATTCTTTCTGGCGTTCTATCTGGCATATCTTCTGGCATTCTATCTGGCCGTTGAGGTCCAGCGGTGCGCACTGAGCTGGGAAGGTCCCAGGTTGAGGTCCAGCGGTGCGCACTGAGCTGGGAAGGTCCCAGGTTGGGGTCCAGCGGTGCGCACTGAGCTGGGATGGTCCCAGGTTGAGGTCCAGCGGCGCGCACTGAGCTGGGAAGGTCCCAGGTTGAGGTCCAGCAGCGCGCACTGAGCTCGGAAGTTGGCGAAGAGCTTGGCGAAGAGTTGGCAAGGCGGAAGTGGAGGTGGAAGTTGATGCAGACATGGTCGAGGAGAAACTGGAGGAGGAGGCGGAGGAGGAGGAGAAGGAGGAGGAGGAGGCGGAGGAGGAGGACAACAGCTCTGATAAAATCTAACAACCCTCACCTGGCAGGTGGGGAACAAGACAGTTGGTGCCCAACATTTTGCGAGAGTCCATGCGATCCTGTACATTGATCAATCTGCTGTTTTTGAGCAACATTTGGGTTCGCCCCATGCCGCCATATGGTATCATTGACCGCCCCTGCAGAAGAAAAAACAGGTTGCCCTCAGGAGATCTGCCACAGGACCCCGTTTCCATCCAATGGTTCTGAACATTGAAGGTGAATCCAATATTTGTGGACAAAGTTTATTATGTTGTCGTTGCTAATCTCAATCCATCATATCCCCAAGTTTTATTGGTTGATTATACCATGCTACACCATATCATCACAAATCATAATTCCATTATACATCCCATTTGATATCCATGATATCACCATAGACTGGTCGCTTTCACAAAAAAAAACATTCATTTTTTGAGTTGTTTATCCCCAGTTTGAATGTTGTTGCATGGTTATATCATCAATCCCATAAGATATGCATCAAACAAACCCTGTCAAAATCGTGTTATTTGTAGTAATATATATATATTGTTTGCCATCTAATTTTCTTGGTTTGTATTTCCATCATATGTCCATATGAGATCATATGGGCATGTCTGAAAATGGGGTGCACCCACCAAAACGGCGGCTTCACGGGAAACTACATAATTATCCAATGGATTTAGGGCTGCCTCATTTTCAGCCCACCCCACAAATAAATCCATCATATGCATAAAAACAATATAAGATCATATAACCATTCTATATTCATGATCTCCGTGATCCATCAAAAATCTCCATCTTTGTTGCTTCAGTGACGTCCCTCTTTCAGCTTCCCCAGGCCGCCAGCCTGGATGCTGCCGGGGGCAAACCCTTAGTTGGCTCCGCGGCCTTGGCGGCTGCGCAGCTCTTGGCGGACAGGGGAGCATCCTCAGATCGGAGATGGATAGATGGATATCACTATCATATATATATATATATTTGATTATATTTGTAATATATATATATAATGTAATATATAATATAATATAATAATAATAACATTATATATATATATGTATATTATGTATACTGTATACCATATACGATATATTTCATATACACATTGCTCTGTACACTATCATCCAAAAAAATATTGTGATATATGTATACTGTATACTATATATGATATATATTTCATATACATTTTACTCTGTACACTATCATCCATAGAAATATAATGATATTTATATATATATATTAATATTATATCATTATGTATACTGTATACTATATACGATATATTTCATATACATATTACTCTGTACACTATTATCCATAGAAATTTAAATATAAATATATATATATAACATATGCATTTGTTCACTTACTCATGACATACAGCCCGAGTGCTGTAGAAGAATCCGAAAGGTGGCAGTCCAGGGTCCCTCAATTTCCGAATGCTTTCTGAATTTATATCGGTTTATTGCCAATCTCCAGCAGAAAGATCTGCGATCAGTAAGAGCCGAAAAAGCGGAAGACAAGCCAAGGCAGATGATTGGGTATATGTAGATTATGATTATGTACAGAATTTAAATATGTATATTTTTTACATTTACATGTACATATACATAATATATATATATACACATACTGATTGAACTTATATACGGGTCAACATGTAGAAATGGTTTGATATGGGATGATTTGGGGGATCGTGGGGTATGAATGCGTTATCCAAATCCATATCCACAGTAGACCATTTGGCAGGAAGCCACTCCAGAATGGCTTGAACTGGAGAATCAGCCAGCAGCCGTTCGTGCCTTGGAGCTTATGCCCGTCTTCACTACCCAAGATTGATCAACTGGCCCTGGCCCCGAAAGCACAATCTGCCATGAAAGAGATATCCGAGCTGTACACTTACTGACCCCTGAACCATTTATAAAATTGCCCGGTTTGTTTTCCCTGTGAGCCACCAGAATTCAGGCCTTGATTTTGCTGCGTCCAGATGGTAATGCTGGCAGCTTGCCAAGCAAATGTGTTTGAAAGGAATTGTCTTTGTTTGATCTCCAAGGATCGACGTGCACCCATAAGGGCCCAGTGGGGGAATGTTGCTTTGTTTGGACATACAGGTACGAAGACAAATGAATTGGTTGATTGCGGATGTTGATTCATGGCGGGACACTCACCAGTCAAAGGAATATATTTTTGGTTCAGGGTTAAAGCTTCATTCAATGCTGGATGTCGACTGATTCCGCGGAAAAAAAATGACACTGCTGTCTCAGGCTAGCTTGGTTTTGAATCCTTATGTTGCCTTTGCTGATTGATGCGGGACTAGATGATTGCGAAGGACATGTAGGCGTGAATACGCAGTCGTTTGAATTTTTTGTGTTTCCTGTGGTGAGATGACATCTACAAGACAAACCAAAATCATTATCAAAAAAACAGTAAATTATACAATTTCAATAATATACTGTAATAATAGTAGCTGAATATAGCTATGAGTCCATAATTGCTCCATCATCTGACCGCCGGCATTTTGAGGTAAGAGCCATCGTCCAGCCACGTGCGCTGGGGTTGTTGCGAAGGGCTATTCATTGGCGTTGCCGCAGGAAGGTGGCCCTGCAGGCGTGGGCAGTTCGGTCAAGGAAGGCAGTGGGGAAATGCGGGAGATTTAACCGCGACAAAAAGGCTGGGACAGGACACACCAATCTGAAGAGTTCAGAAACTCTTCAGATATGTCAGATATGTTGAGATGATGCAGTGAAGACCTTTTGACAGAACATTAGATGAAACAATGAGACTGTGTGTGTCTGTGACACTGCGCATTCGGGTTGTAGACTCCTTCTGGCAACGTATACAACCCCTTCGTGATGTTTCTCAGGCGGCAAAGATGCTCCATCGAAGCGGTGGAAAGCAGCACAGCAGCTTCGACTTACTTCACATCAGACTACTGCACATACACGTGTCATTTCTAGATCAGTTGATGCTACTAGTAGCAGGAATCATCGCAATATATCGCAATCATTATTCCACATCAAGAAGTGTACCAAGTGGCATCCAAGTAGCAACTTTGCTCCCGCCGGAGCTGGTCTTCATACGCTCGTGGTAGCTTTGCCGTGCTAAGGCAAAGCTTCTACGCAGATGCTCGCTCCTTGGAGAGAGACCTCTCCTCGATTCAAGCCTGCGCCTTGCCGGAATTAGTGAAGCCACATCTACCAATTTTGGTCGTGAATCAACATAACTATTGAATGGACAACACTATTCCGGATTTTGGAATACATGTTTTTTTCCTAATGCCTGGTGGCCTTCGGGTTAGTGGACACTTTTTTCTGAAGGAAGAGTGCTGTACAGATATACGTACTATGATTATCTATAATTGCTAATTATCATTGTGTTATATTACACTATGGTACTGTAATGAGTTTTTTTTGTTTCCATTCCCAAGCTATGTCAGTGTGCAGCACCGTTCAGGCATTCTTGGGCGACTGCAAGAGATTGCCGAAGAGAGAAGCAAACAAGGGGAGGACAGCAAGAGGGAAGGCAAATTGACAGCTTCTGTCCGTTCTCAACAATCTCAGCTCAAGAAATCAAGCACAGCATGTAAGACGCGAGTCAGTTTCTAACTGCATTTGGCGAGAAGTTTCACTCCACACCAGAACCCAAGACTGCAGCTGCTTGTGCTTTACGCGAGACTGTCTCACCATTAGTCTTCAATCTCAGGAGCCAAGACCTGTGAATGGCAGCCGTGCTGCCAGCCCTGGTGCCCAATCGCAGAAAGAAAAGGTGCCGCCATGTATGGGACGGAAACGCTGAATGATCTGCATATGGGTATGGGCTGATGCGTCATGATGCGTCCACACTCTGCAGGAAGGAGCTGGGCAAGGAGCAGATGAAAGCGTTCTGGGATTTGTGAGCGTGACTTGGACTTGGAAGACTGAACGCTGCATGGCACTGCTTGGAGAATTTTTCTGCAGGTGAAATTGTGCAGAAGAATACAAGACATTGACATATAGAAATGTACAGCAGTTGATATGAGTAACCAACAAAATTATTGTAATACTAATGCCGAAGGGTGTGCAAAACCTTCATTACCGATAGGGGACGACCCTATACCGATACCCCTGTTTTGCATGAGCCGCCTCAAAGTCTGCGAAGGCAAAAATCAAGACTCACGATAGGGGACAATCCCTAATTTGCGCATGGCATGAAAATGAAGAAGTAATTTCGTCCGCCATTTATATTTACAGTACAGTCTATCAAATTGTATACATATGTATACCTTACATTGATCTAACTTATCATGAAATATATTATTATATATTTATATTTTTATAATTATTGACAATATAACCATTATTATGAACCATTGATTGCTTGTCTCACCAAGGCACTTGAGAAGCATCCAGACTATCGGGAGCAGGCGTTGGACGGATGGGTGCAGTGCTTCGGTGACACTTCTGCTCAGTGGACACAGCGGGATGCCAGGTTTTGAATTTCGCAAGTCAAGGTATGTCAAGGTCACACTGGGGAGCTTTGATCAGAAAAAGCAATGGGATAGTTATATTATGACCATATATTTAATACCATATACAACCAGAAATTGTAAACATTGTACATCTCCACTTGAGGCTATTTGAGCCAGAGGGAGCCTCTCAAATAGTGACAATTACTTCCAATCATGAATAGTAAGCCCATGTAAGCCCCAAACAATAATTTGGGTTTTCAGGGTTTTTGCCTGGGTTGACCGCATGTCCAGCATGCGCTGAGCGCACAGGTGTGTCACGTGAAGCACTACCCACCCCGGCCTGCCAAGTATGCCAGCTTCGAGACTCTGGTACGGCCAAGGGGCAATGAGATGCAAAATCTTGGCCAAAAGCATGACACAGTACACGCTTGTTTGTTCAAGATGGGAGAGACGGATCATAATTACTGTACTATATAAAATCAATTATATAGTATATACGCAGATTATACATATTAGCCGATGCCCATTGTACAATATGTGATGTGCAATAAACATGTGCAGAGACTCTGCAGGTGAATGAGAGGGGCGCCCCGCTCCTTTCTTCAGAAGCCCGACGGGCGCTGAAACAGATGAACATCGACGAACTTTTCGAGCACCAGCATACTGCTCTGACCCTTGGCAATGGAAGAGTAATGGAGGTTTCCGAGCAATTGGGGTACTTCCAAACCATCCAAAATTCGACCATTTTAGTATTGAAAGCCATGATTTTTTGGAGATCCACCATTTTAAGAAACCCCCATTTGGAAGTCAATCTCAAAGGTCATGAGCAGAGCACCATCGCAAATTGGCAATGGAGAAACTACCCCGGCACGATGCTGGCAGAATCACAGCTGGGTTTCCAGGATCATCCAAACTCGATGAAATGCTCCTGACTTCTTAGATGGTCTAGATATATCAAAGTTTTTTTTTAATGGGAGGGCTGTTTATTTTAGGATTTTTTTTGCTAAGGTTTACATAGTTGTTTTTTTGATTACTGCTTTTCTGCTGTTCCTGATTCTCTGCTTTTCCGTTTTTTTGCTTTTCCCGCTTCTCTGCTTTTCTGCTTCTCCGCTTTTTTTCTTTTCCTGCTTTTCCTTTTTTTTGCTTTTCCGGCTTCTTTGCTTTTCTGCTTCCCTGCTTTTCTTGCGTCTCTCGTTTCTGCTTTTCTGCTTTTTGCTTTTCCTGCTTCTGCTTTTCTGCTCTTTTGCTTCTGTGCCTTTCTACTTCTACCTTTTCTTTTTCTGCAGTCATGCGTGTTTGCTGCTCTGCTTCTTCCTGCTCCTTTGCTTCTCTGCTTCCTTTCTTTACTGTCTCTTTGCTTTTCCTTTTCTTTTGCTTTATTCTCTCCTGTTTGTATCCTTCATGAAACCCTAGAGAAACCCTAGATTAAACCCAAAAACACCCTAACAAGAACCCCCAATGAAACCGTAAATGAAACCCTAAAGAAACCCTAATGATAATCTAAAGAACCCCTAATGACAACCTAAAGAAACCCCAAAGATACCCTAAATTGAACCCTAAAGAAACCCACATGAACGTTTGAAGTACCACCATGCAAATACCATGCAAAATGAGAGATCATTAACGTTTGAAGATGTTTGAAGTACCAACATGTAGCAAACAAGGATACTATACAAAATGAGAGGTTGAGTCGAGGTGCTAAAAACATAGCAAATCCGTGCAGCATGGAAGGTGAACATGCCACAATTGTAGCAAATGCGATGCAAAATGACAGGTTCTAGTTCCAAACTGTTGCAAATACAAGGCAAATGGTACCAGGCAAGATTCCAAACAAAAACCGCACCTTATCAAAAAAACTAAAACTATTCTTCACCCTGTAGTTATATTATGTTATATTTATATAGATGGGTCCAATGACTTGAGTTTACATTTGGTTGGCTGATCCCACCCTGCGAGATACCAAGGCGTGCTGTGCGAAGCTCAGCTACTTTACAAGGTGGTAGCTTCGCTTCAGCCATATTGAGGGCTGTCAGGTCGAATTGAATCATCTAGGGTTTCTATGGGTTTCTATGCCGCACTATGTCTTAATGATCTTAATGATCTTAATGGCCAGGATAGCCAACTTTCATACTCTGCAAAGCAGGTGACTTGTGCTGATGATTCAAGTAAGAGTATGTGTGCATATACTTGGCAGGACTGTCGACTTTTCTTCCTTTCCTAGTTTTCTTTTTTGGTCCAGATACCATTCGTTGAATTTTTTGTCACGGAGATGCTTCCGAGTCTATCTATAATATAGGAGTCTAGTGGTACCATCACCAGCAGTTTCATTCCCATCCTCAATGGCCTCAACCATGACACTTGGTGGCCCCTGCCATTTTGGGCTCAGAGATTCCGAAAATACGCATGGCGGGAATTCCGCTCCTATTCAGTCGAGACAAAGCACTGCCTCCTACTAGTACGGTCTTGGGGAAAGGGCAACAGATCCCTGGAGCAAGTCAGCATATGTCAACATCTCACCCCACTTTGAATTCCCATGTTTTCTCTCTCCTCTATTTGTTTAGTCATCATTTCTTGGCAAGATTTCGCAAGTGCAACTTGTTCTCAGCCAGTTCTGGGGTGTAACCAACGTAAACCGCTTTAGTTTATTTTAACCTGGCATTTAGCTGAGCTCGCCTATGCATTTGAATAGGGTGTATATTATCCTTTGCTGCTCTGTCCTTCCATGGGCGAAGCCACTGATGGTGGAGGTGCAGCGTCTACTCATCCACTGCAGAAAGTGCTGAATGAATTCGAAACATATTTTGCCCGTTTAGATATGTCAACTGTTTGCTTTGAAGCTAGCTATACCGGTTATTTGGTATGAAGTAAGAGCCATTTTGTTGCAAATGGGCCTGGTCAGGGCAAGCGCACGTGTCATGGAGTAAAACTGTTTGGCTTTGCAGGAGGCTTAGTCCGGTTTGACGACTGTTTAGTAGGCCTGGCACCACCTTTATGTTCTCTCGCTTGCGTGTTTTGCAGCACTCCAGAAGTCATGAAACTGTCAGCCTGTCAGCTCTCTGTTCCGAGGTCTTTGCCGCATCCGCTCTTTTGGTGACTGCTAGGGGTCACAATGGCGAGTACACTCTGCGCTTTTCTCAGACTTGCGAGTTGATCGAGTTGAAAGAAACGAAAGAAGACACACTAAAGTTGTTATTCTTTCAGATTGTAGAGCAATTGATGCTGGAATATGGATGAATATGGCAGATTCAGCGCCTGAGTGTTGAAGCCAAACAGTATTGGACAGCTTCCTACTGAGTCTAACTGGACATGATTCTATTGCATTTGTTGCGATTTCCTCTGCTCAATGTTGCAGTGACGACCTTAGGCGTGATCCGCAGAGTGTGGAAGAGGCAATCAACATATTAAATGAGATCGAACGACTAGCAGAGGACTGCCTGGCCAATGGTGTCAAGGTATCAAATCGGTGGTTCTAAGCCGTCCCATGAAGTCAATTATTGCATTGATACCCGACAATCCAATCCTATGTTCGCAATCTGATTCAAGCTTCCAGGTGGAGCAAGGAACAAAATACAGAGTAAAACTACATTTTTGCAATTAACATGCTGCAAGCATCCCAAAACCATGAACACACGATTGTTTAGAATTCTATATGGTTCTATTAAATATGGTATATCAACCCCGTAATGTGATATTATGTAAGTATTTGTATGTATTTGTAACATCTGGTAACCACACTTTTGCTGCTTAAATCCACATTCATAGTGGTGAAACCGCAAATTACCTGGTTCATAAACGTTTGCAATTTACCTGGCTTCTTCCTCTTCCTCTTCTTGTTGTTGTTGGTGGTGGTGGCGGCAGTAGTGGTTGACAGGACCAGTGGTCCCAGCACTCGCGACACTTGTCCTCCAGCGAGCAGGAGCCCCGCGTTTTTCCTTGCGCTTCGAAATGGTTGAAAGTTGGTTCAAGGATTAAAAAACGGATCTTGCTGGAGAATCATCCCATTTGTTTTTCGAAATCTTTCGGAAAGAATAGGTCTGTATTCATGTATTCTAAATGTGGTGTAATGAGTAGGCGAAACAAAATAGTGCGACTATGTTGCCAACGGCGGTTTAGGGAGCTGGCAGAATTCCGCGGAATTTTTGGATCATTCCGTCAGGAGCTTCAGGTGGGGCGTGGCCTATCACCTAGGCCTTGGTTTCAGGAGGTGGTTGACAGGCCTGGGGCCGAAGTTTGCGATCGCCAAGCAGGGCTTGCTGACGAGAATTATAGATGATATGTGTTTCTATTCAAGAGTTGTAGATAACAAACTATAAAATAGTTGTTTATTATAGATGATATGCTGTTTCTATTCAAATTTATTTCAAACTAGATGAAATGGCATGACTGTTGCAGTATTCGTTTGACCCACTACGAGCTGAGCCACAAATGAGAGGTACAGACAGGAGGAATTGCTGGGTAAGGAACAGCAGTCTCATTGCTACATTCGCCAGCAGTGTAGGTATGGTGCACCTCCTAGACAACATCCACAGAGGCAGAGGGGGGATAGATGGGTTGGGTGATGGTCACTCTTTGTGGTTTGAGGTGTGATTTGGAACTTTGCGTGCCTTTTGTTGTGATTTTCAAGGTTGGCATTTGGCATTGGACCGTTTTTTTCTAAATTTGAAGAACAGCTTTCACTGAGCCCAACGACCTTACTGTCAGCAACGGGAAGTGAGTAGAGAGTAGTGAAGAATACTGAAGAGACGTGACGAGCTCATGTTCAGCAGAAGAACGATACTCCTAAATATGGCGGATTCAAGGGTTCTTCCATCCTTCCTTTTGGGCTGCAGGTGGCTGCAGTGTGATGTCGAAAAGTTGCTGGAAAAACCTGTTGCAGAACTATCAGAATCATTGCTTTGCAGGTATTCCAGGGATGGGCGACGATTGTCCGCCCGGGTCTTAGCATACATTTTCGTCAGCCAATCGGCTTGCATCGATTCGCATCGCGAGGTTTTGGCGGAGAACAATACCGCTCCCATCCGATTCCACCTGAATTTTGATACGCTCTATGAGGACAAAGTGCAGGCAGCGCAGCGATGCACGAGATTCGAATCAGATCAAATCTACAGTACAAACAACTTGTACAGATTTGTACAAAGCATGTTCCATCCTGAACTTGTCCCAACTACGAAGAACACCATAACATACCAGAACGAACATTATTCTTGGCTACCTTTGGTGCACTTGCGCGCGAACAGCCTTATGAATGAACTCGGAAAGGCAAATCCTTTCACCAAAGACCGCTACTGCTTTCGCGAGGCAGGGGCTGGGGGCACATCAGAAACTGTGGATGATGTTTATGGTGGATCAAAACGTGTTGTGCCATCTTTAGAGAATTGGTTTGAACATTTGGCGATAAATTCCACTAAAAAGACATCGACCCCAGATGGCCTGGCCTCCGCCAGGGCGAATGGTTTCGTATCGGCTATCCGGGCGAGAAACCAAGCGGCAGCGGACCCGATGGTGGTGTCCTGAGTACTGGTGAAATGTCTGAACCCGTGAGGATCGTGAGGTAGGTCAAAGTATGGGCCGAACCTCATATTGGTCACATTTTGGTACTAATTCTACCATCTTTTTATATCTATTGGGGCGGAGTTGGCACCTTGAGCTGATTGAGGCTGTGGTGACCGAACCACCACAGTGGTTCACGGGGACAAGTGGTGCCTTTGCACTGTGACCGATCTCATCACCGACGCTTTCATGCATCAAGCAGTTCAGATACATGAGGAAAAGGAACGGCCATTCCGCTGGGTGCAGAAGAGTGTAGCAGCATTTCTATGCATTTCTGAGGTCATTTATATAATCAACCCAAGCAGCCAGTCTCGTTGAGTTTCAAGAGTGTAGGTCTCAGCTGTTTGACAATACCATGATTTGACTGGCCTAGGACCAAATGCGGAACTTTGTGATCTACGCCACTACAGAAGCTCTGGCGGAATTTCACTTTAGCACATGCAGCATCCAGCAAATGGTCACCATCACCATGCAGACTGACTAGCATAGACCAACGTTGAACTGGCTAGAGTTAGATTCCCTTTGCAAGGGTCAATTTACATCAATTTTCCATGTTTCCTGGTACTTTATATTTTCCTGTGGCCAACTTCCATGGCAGTAGCAATGCACCCAGGAAGTCATGAAGCAGGTGCCAGGCTTTTTCTCTGTGAAGCCGCTCGAGGATGAGTTGAAATTTCGGCCTCTCAGTGGCAGGGTCAAAGATCCAATTGTGATCAACTGTGCTGATGATGCGTGAGGCGGTTTAATTGTTCCTGTATGTTTCTGCTTGGCAATTCGGAGCATGGCATGTCTTTGCAAGACAGTATGAAGTTTCAAATTCCAACCTGCCATAAGCTGCTAATCTTTTTCAGTGGCAGGGTCAACGCAGATATTTGCACAATGTGAAATGGCAGATGGTCTGACCCCACTTTTTGACCCACTGAATTTCGTTCTGAAACAGCCAAAACATACCATGCCTATCCATGGCCATCGAATTTAGAGCCGTTTTGGAATGGAAATCCAATGAAATCTATATTAATTTATGTATATTTATGTATATATATATATGTATACATACCTTCACCAACAAAAACCGATAAAAATAACATGTTCAAAGAAAACCCGATGTTTTGGGGACAAACCCGATGTTTCCATTTTTCATCAATTTCAGGATTTCCCAGGATGTCTCCGCAACCATTTTCCAGCACACTGGTGGTGCCCCATTCGACCTCAATGATCCTCGGCTTCAATCCAGAGGGTGAACATGGGTGAACTGTTCAAACAAATTGAAGTTCTAGAACATGTTTCATGGTTAATAAATATATACCACATATCACCCACCAGTGCGAACCAAATATCGCAGCCTAATGAAGTGCGCATATGCAGATTGAAGATATCTGTCCATGATTCTATGCAATACCGGTGCTTGCGCAGTCACACGCCTTGCAAGACGTGATGGTCTGCCGATGAAGTCTTCAGATGGTTGGCAGCTGGTGGCCAAACAATTGAGTCCCATAACATTTTTTTGGTGTGCTGCATGCAAATCAACCATAAAGTGTTGGAGCAGGTGTACCTTTGGTTGCAGTACAAAGAGGCAACGTCCCATTCTTTTAGAACAGGTCGCCAACTGTCCATAACGGCGTAGGAACTTAAATCCCAACTCAGAACACAACTTGCAAAGCTCTGGATTTAGCCACATAGGAGACCGGTACAGAATCCTGGAAAGATCTTGAACTGCAAAACATGCTTCAGCAGTCATTGTCAAAAGCTCGTCATCTGGAAAAGTCTGACTCCGAAATACTGATTCAATGTATTCCATCATCACCGTTGACAAACCTCCTTTGTGCCACTGCGCGCTAGGAAACTTTGAGTTCACTTCCCAACCAATTGATTCCTTGGTGATTTTGGTACAGTATGCGCGTCTGGAATGCGTGTGACACCAACTGCGATACTTTCTCGTGAAAGCACTGAAGCGTTCATCCTTGTTGCCATACGGCTCCAATTCAGTCAACATGGCGATGGCTGACCCCACAAAATTTCTAATTACCCCCAAGTGCATTGTGTGGAACCAATCATAGGTCCAGAAAGCCGCTTCCTTGCCCTCTTCATGCAGCAGGTGTTCTGTAAAGGGAGATGGTTCCGCAAATGGATCCTGAGTGAATTGAGTAGGAATCCAACTTGGTCTTCGGGTTTCCAACTGTTCAAACGGAACATCAGGTTGACCACTTCGACACAAATGGCAAATGCCAGCAGGAGCACGGTTAATCCTCAAGCGCTTCTGAATGGTGTTGAAAGACCTAGTAAATGAGCCAGATTTGTGTAGAAATGGCCAGTCACCAGTCATAGCCACAACTATTCCCCAGTAGCGCACTCCCTGGGTGTTAGCAACACCTGTCTTCCACATGAATCCACCATCTTCCGCAACTGCAGTCATCAATGATGGCCATGTGTCGCTATTCATATCAGTGTAATCTCGTTTTCTCAAACTCACCAGCATGAATCTGTTTGAATACGTGTGGCCAGCAAAGTTGTTTTGCATTTTCGCCCAAACCTTGCATGATTTTTTTTGATTGGCAAATCCTTTTCCAAAGATCGAATGGAACGACATCACAAAGTGTGCACCATGCTTGCGCCCCCGGCCCTCATCCCCGTGCAACAATATAGGTATTGCCCTGTCGAGGCAAAGAGTACCTTCGGCAGCCTCTTTGAATACACCATGGTCAGGATGCAGTTTTTGCCAATTGGCCCAAAAAGCCTTGCAAATGGCCTGTTCTCTCTGAGGGTGTGGTTTCTTGAGGCCATGTAGGATGTGCAAGCAAGAATTCTTGGCAAAGAATTCAAACCAGTGCTGGATCTTCAGCATAGGAATTTGTGTGTCACTTCCTAGGTGAGTTTTTTGCACAGGCAATGCTAAACGAAACTTTTTCAAGAGCACCTGTTGGCAGTCCCGCTCTGGATTCCGAAGATCACATTTTGAGACATCTAATAGCCCTCCAGACTTTGAAGCGGCCTTCTGGCCTACATCCGAAACAAAATCCCGGGCTGTAGCAATCGCCGAAGTGCATGAGGCCTAAGCCGGCCATCAATCACAACAAAGAATAACTTGCGCAGCAATTGGTAAAATGGATCTTTGATTTGTATCAACTCAATTCGATTAAGACTTGAGAAACTTGAGAGTATATAAAGGGTTATTGACACATCTTTGAACTGTGGCGGAACCCAAATGAGCGTGAGTAAACTAAACCTCGTAAGTACAGTGTCAGCATTCACCCTTTTGCACACGCAGCACGTGTTGAACACACATGTCATGCCATGCAACAGTTTTTTGTTGCAATCATTTTTTTTGAATTGTGGACCTGATCTTTCCTGGTCCGTATGGTGCAATCGGTGGTGGATATTTAAAGGACCTGTAGACGATATATGTGCAGCAGCGGCTTTCATCTAAGGACTGGAATGATGGGATGAGCACAGTGTCTCCTCCAGAATTGACATTTCGGCAGCCTGGCCTACCTGAGCGCAATGTTGGGAGATGTTTGGAGTGCTTCAGGGCAAAAAAAATGGCAACTGGTCCTTTTGTGCAAAAAAAAAAAATTCACTCTAAAAACGAAGAAACAAAGTCGACCATTGTCAAACCAAGATAAATTGAGACCAGATACCTTTGTAGACATCGATTAAGCAAGCTTCAAGAAATGCAGGACCATGAACTTCTGCAGACTCAAACAAGACTACCATATTGGTCCATTTGTCTCTCGAAAACTTGTAGCCGTAGAGTTCATTGTTCCATCGAAATACCGGGTTGTGTGAATAGCCGATCTTGAAAATCATTGGACAGTGTTTTGCAAAAAGCTTGTTCACTATGGACTTGGCATGGAGAAGGACTTTGCCTGCAGTAGCATTTGCTGGAGGGAGCTTGTACTCAAGAAAGCTGGTATCACCAGAAGTGATTCTATCATCCAAAGGCTTGTTCCCATCGATTGTCCCGACCAGTTTGCAACAGTTGGTTTGCACCCCACAAATCATTGGCTCGTCGCTGGTCATGACACCACATCCCACTGCAGGTACTGCAGCAGTGTCTTCGTTTCTCGACCATGGAAAGGGTCTCAAGCTTTCCTGGTGGCCACTGGGTTCTTTTGAAATTGGGATGCCCATGATAACAATAAAATTGATGATAGTAAAGATTTCATTTTTTGACATATCAACTCCCTTTTAAGCGCAACAAGTTTTGGCATATATACTCCATGGACTCCAAGGGTCATCACGATGAGATGTGAAGAGGTCCCAGAGTTCTTCATCTACACTCTCATCACTCATGGCTGCGCATTGAAATTGGAAGAAGCCAAAATGGCATGATAAACCCTTGAGCCAACACCGGCTAAGGTTGAACAGGTCTTGGGTTGTGGCTAGGTCATGTATAAGTTAAGCATGCTTTCAATCGTTCTATTTCCCCCAGAGATCAGGTTGAGCTCTGGACGCCATCACCAATTCGGCTGGCGAAGCCCTTGATGGTGTTCCCTGGCTTTGGACCTGGCCCAGTGTGTGTTGAATATCATACGCATATACTTGAATCAAACAAGACTGGTTGAAGAATCAAAGTTGCAAAACTGAATCAATCATGTCAGCTAACAGCCGGTTGGCATGCAAGCCTTTTTTCCCTCAAAGATTTCGCAACATGTAGCTGAGTCAAAGCTCAATCCCTGATTGCGTGTTTCATGTCGCAATCAGCCAACCCAGAATTTATGGACTGAAAACACTTTTAAGCGTGTTCAACAGCTCTGCCAAGTCTGCTGATACCAGTGTTTGATGAAAATACAACTCTACTAAATAGAAGCAACTAACAAAATATTCCAATCAACGGAAAGCATTTGCAGATGTGATTGGTCTATGAGCAACACGCTTCATTGTGTTAAGAAATTTGGTCAACTCCACGCCATGACCAAACCAACCATAGACCCTTGTGGCCTTTTGCTAGTCAAGTCGATCACTTATCCTTTTTGACCTTTTTGGTTTTCTTGGGGGGGGCATCATCATGATCATTGTTCTTCGCAGGTCTTTTGTTGTCACCCTTATCCTTTTCCTTCTTCTCCTCCTTGTCCTTTTTCTCCTTCTTCTCCTTTGGCTTGGTCAGGGCATCGCAGTCCTTCCTCTCGAAGAACTTCTTTTGGTTCCTGCGCCATAAGTCGACTGAAGGGGCAGCAAAATAGTATACAACCCGGTGAGTGTATTTCAAACATTTTCAAACAATGGTCTGCGTATATATGTTTTCCATTTAGCAAAAGACACCACCGAGGATGATGATGTTGCGCCTTGTTTTCATCTCCGCTGCAACGGCCTTTGAGCACCTTGGCAAAACATGGCAACATGCAGGGCTTGGGTCAAGATATACATATGGAAGACCAATGTTATATTCACATGCTACTTCGGGTTTACAAATTGCAGATAAATATTTGGCTTTCTTACATAAATCTAGATGTTTGGTCTCAAGGAATTTTGGATCATGTGTCTGGGATTCCACACGCCAGGGTTGCATGTTTCATGGCATCTTCAGCGCCGGTGTAGAACCTTTGCAAGAAGGTGTTCCCAAAATTGAAGTAAACTATCATCCAGTCTTGGGGCATGAGTCACAATGTATATATACAAGTTGATAAACAGCGAAGCCTGGACAGCAAAGCCTCGTCATATAAGAAATTGTGACAAGTAACTTCTCCGTAAAAAAGCCTTGTGCCTCCCCAATGCACCATTGCTCCTGGCACTTGTCATACTGCTGATCCAGGTTCTTGATCTCATTCTGGAGTGATGCAAGGCACCTTGGCAGTGACTTGAAGTAAGTGAAACAACCTATGAAGTGCTGGGATCACTTGGCCACTTCAACTGACGTGTTCTACCATC